TATCACTGTCAAGGATCACGGAACACCCTTGAAAGTGGGTGTATAGGGAGGTAGGGGATAAAATCTCGCAATATAGTAGATAAATATTATTAGACTAAAAAGGGGGACTAAGGGATATTTATTTAGTAGACATTAGCCAATGGGGAAGCTGAACCACTCTCAGGCCTCCCCTCGCTGGTCACTGTAAAACTGTAAAAACCTAATGACTAAGAATTTCTTTGCATTTATTAGATGGGAGTGGATTTCATATGTATACTGAAGCTGATGAGGGTACTAAACAAGATCAAAATCATCCTAAAAACGGCCAACCACTGGCCTCATCCCCACAATCTGGTATGGCACTTCGGCCTGGGCATCAGCATCTTCCCAAGAAATCACGAGCGACGGAGAAAATTCCTGGTAAGAGGTTTATCGAGAGGCTAATGGCAAGAAGGCATAACAAACCAAACGTGGCGCAGAATCTGGACGCCACTGTGTTGCCTAGTAACGAGCACGTGATTGAGGAAGATGTAGGAGGTTTGGTTTACTCTGAGCCTTACGAAGATAAAGTTTCAGTTGCTACTGAGCTCAAGTTTAAGAAACCAGGTTCGTTTCGTGGCAAAATAAACAAGGACCCATCTCCAGAAAAAGAAATACAGCTAGTTTATTACCACGTCTTGGAAGAGAGTACTGAGCCTAATGCGAATCTTTCAACATCCCCCATAGAATATCTTCCTGGTCCCAGTGAAGAAGCAAGGGAGGATGTGTATTACTACTGCGACTCTAATAATCCTGAAAACGAGAAGATAGAAGACTCCAAAACAGCACCTCCTAAACCCTTGCCTTTGGTAGCCTCAAACAATAGCGAGCTTGAGGATGACACATATTATTCGTGTGTAGCAGAAGAATCTACAAATAGTCCAAGCCAAACAAATCCCAAGAAAGTGCTTTTACCGTTGCCGCAGATTTCCAAAGAAATGTCGTCCCCAAGACCAACCACTTCTGCGGGTTTTGCTGCGGCTCAACAAAAAACGCATTTCCATGGATGGGATAACCAAACACGAAACCAGACGGCAAAACCAATCGATAAGAGCTCCCTGAAAGGCAATCTAATGATAAATGCTCATATGATCCAGGAGATGAAAAGCCGAGTTGCTAATAAGAAGTTTGGGAACTAGCAAAGTTTAAAAAGGCGAAAAAACATGTAGAAGCCATATTGTTGTTGTGTGTGAGGTTCTAAAATTAGACGACTGAGTCATGTATGAACTCAAATAGACCCTTTTCGAGTTCCAAATTACCGCTGTGTTTTTTGATTACAGACTCATTTACTCAGGCTTAGCCTCGATTTTGTGAAGAATATTCACGTATTCTAGTCAAGGTCCGTCAAGTTTCAAAGCGTTCGTATTGTTGAAGTTGTGCATTCTTTACTTTACCGTTGGTATTTGCGAGTAATTAGACACTGATTTGAGGCTTAGCCTGAGTAAATGAGTCTATAATCAAGAAAGACAGCGGTAATTTGGAACTCGAAACTGGACTATTAGAAAAGATATTACCTTCGCACCTATAATTTATTGTTTTGCATCTTTTCAGAAACCGAAT